TTTTTTTGAAATACTTTTAAAAAAATTTTTTAGAATAAAAGAAATATTTAGCAGAAAATTATCAAAATGCTTGCCCTGTAGTGGGGCAATATTTGTTAATTTTTTTAAATTAAATAAATATTATTTAGCAGTAAAATTATCTAAATGCTTGCCTTAAAATAAAAATACAAATAGTGGGGCAAAAACAGCCACAGGACACACGACAACAGTGCAAATGTGGAGTGTATTCCTTTTTTACAGTATTTTTTTAAAAAAGCAAAAGTACACATGGTGATCAATACAGCAGGCAGTAGTAATTTAAGGCAACACAAAGCAAAGTACATTTTTTTGGTTTGTTTTTTGGGTGGGTTTTTTGTGGGTTCTTTTGTGGGTTTTTTTTGGTTATCTTATGGGGTTTTTGTGTTTTTTTGTTTTGTTTTTTGGGGGATTTATTTCTTGTTTTTAGTGGGGTTACTTTTTTTAATTAATTAATTAAATATATATATATATAAATAATAGCAGCAGTTTTTTGGTGAGTTTCTTTGTTTTCCTCCTTTTTTAAATAATTAAATAAATAAATAATAGCAGCTTTTTTCTCTAATAAATATAAAAAAATAAGTCCCTTCATTTTTAATGGGTTTTTCATAATTTTTGTTTTGTTATTTTGTATGAGGTAGGTACTTTGTTTATGGGTAAGGGAGTTGGGGGGGGAAGCGTACACAGGACTACAGGAGTTCCTCTTCTCCGGGCACCCCAGAGGCGATGCCCAACAGGCTGAAAGGGGACCGGCAGGAAACAACTGGGGAAAGGGTGTATGAAAGGGAGTTGGGGGGCCTACACACAGCAGCCAAGAAGACATTTCAAACCAGAGAATTTGTACATTTTCCGAAACGAGCACTGTCTTATAGCACTTTGTGTTGGCAAAAGGAGCGCACTTTTCTTTTTTTGGAATATTTTTAGAATATTTAAAAATGGAAAATTAACAAAATGCTCACCCTGTTGTGAAGCGTACACAGGAGTAAGTGCCTCTTTTCCGGGCACCCCAGAGGCGATGCCCAACAGGCTGAAAGGGGACCGGCAGGAAACGACAGGGGAAAGGGTGTATGAAAGGGGTGGGGGGGGAAGCGTACACAGAAGTCGAGGAGTGCCACTTTTCCGGGCACCCCAGTGGCGATGCTCAACAGGCTGAAAGGGGACCGGCAGTAATCAAGGGGACTGAAAGGGGACTCACCCAGTAATCAAGCAGTACTTGCCCGGAGACAAAGGAGGTAAAGAGTGAAGTTTGTTATGGGTGGATAGCAGACAGATTGGATTTCCAGGAGCAGGGAGGGAACAACTGGGGAAAGGTTTAATAATAATAATAAGGAATAATCTAAATGCTTGCCGACAACAACTGTGCAAATATGCAGTGTATTCCTTTTTTTAAAGTTTTTTTTAAAAGAATAAAAGAAATTTGTGCAAATGTGCGGTGTATGAATTTTTTTTGAAATACTTTATAAAAAAAATTTAGAATAAAAG